TGAAAAAATAGCAATTCCTTTAAAAATAATATTTAATAAATCCCTACAACAATGTAAATATCCCACCAGCTGGAAGACTGCAAATGTAATTGCTTTTTTTAAAAAGGGAGATAGTTCTCTACCATCTAACTATAGGCCTATATCGCTTATAAGTTGTGTAGGGAAAATAATGGAGCGAGTTGTTTATAAACATGTCTTCAATCACCTACATAGAAATAAGTTAATATATGAATACCAGTCTGGTTTTCTTCCAAAATGTTCAACAGTTCACCAGCTTTTAGAAATTTACAACTGTATTTTAAATTCACTAGAAAATAAAGAAATTAGCTGTTTCGTTTTCTGTGACTTTTCTAAAGCTTTTGATAAAGTTTGGCATCAAGGATTGCTATATAAAATGAAGTCATACGGTGTGGACGGGAAATTACTGAATTGGTTTAAAAGTTACCTGAACAACAGACAACAGCGAGTTGTTATTAAACAATCGTCGTCAGAGCTTTGCAGTATTTCAGCTGGTGTCCCACAGGGTTCTGTTTTGGGACCGCTCTAATTCATTATTTATATTAATGATATTGCTGAAAATTTGATATCTTTATGTAGATTATTTGCAGATGACACATCTCTCGGCTACTCTAGTCGTGACACGTCACAAATAAAATCAGTGATCAGTCACGACCTGTGTGAGCTGAGCGATTGGTCTAAGAAATGGCTGATGTCCTTTAACCCAGAAAAAACAGAAATTATGTTGTTTTCATACATTGAAACTCCGGAAATGAATTTCATATTCAATGGTAAGAATATTAAAGTTACAGATTTTCATAAACACTTGGGTGTTACATTTAGTAGAGATGCTAAATGGAACACTCATGTGGAAAGTATCATAAAAAATGTATCGAAACATTTGAATGTACTAAGGAAACTAAAGTACAGATTAAGTAGAAATAACTTAGAAAAGCTATACTTGACTTTTATAAGACCGTTACTCGAATACGCCTGTGAAGTTTGGGATAATATGGGTGTGGGTTATTGTAACAAATTAGAGCAGCTGCAGCTTGAGGCAGCCAGAATTGTAACAGGCCTTCCTATTTTTACTAGTAGTAGAATTATTTATGATGAGATTGGTTGGGAAACTCTAGCTGAACGAAGAGAAAGGAGGAAGTTACAATTATTTTATAATATTCAACATAATAATGCACCAGCCTATCTTTGCAATTTAATTCCACCAACAATCCAAAGTACAGCTGTTTATCCCTTACGTAATGGGAATGATATAATATACCCTTTTTGTAGACTTTCATTGACCCAAGAATCCTTCATACCTTCAACTATACGACTGTGGAATAACCTTAATGTGCTGACCCGCAACATTGACTCTTTAGGTAAATTCAAAACTGAATTAAAAAATCTTAAACTAAATTCAAAAGCCCAAGTACCCAAACATTATAAATTTGGCAATCGTAAACTCAACATCATTTTGACTCAACTTAGATGCTCAGCCTCGTTTTTGAATTATGATCTTAACAGAGTTAATATAATTTCAGATCCGTCTTGTAGCTGTGGTGCTAAGCGTGAAGATTCATTTCACTTCTTTTTTGAATGTCCTAATTATACGAATATAAGAATCAAACTATCTAATAATCTGAACTGGTTACCAGAGAACTCTCTATTAAATTTGAACATCTTAACCTCCGGTGATTCGTCATTAACTAATGATGAAAATGAAAGAATTGTAAAGAATGTATATGAGTTTATTAAAGAGTCAAAGAGGTTTCTAATTGTGTAATACAGCACACTAAAGTGCATATACATGTATATTGTGTACAACCATTCACATCATCACACATCATCTTTTACACATCCAATATATACAATGTATTGTTTGCATGCATGCTTTGTAAAAAATTCTATTGTTATAAATTGTTCATGGGAGAAGACTTCATAAGTTTGATTAACTTGTGTCTCATCCCTTTTGCATATTTAAGCAAATAAAATATGTTTAAACTAAATCAAAGGTTGTTTTTCCAATATTCCCAGTGTCTTTGCCATAAAGTGCAGTCAACAGGACTCGTCACCAACTATAAAGAAGAACCAGACTTCCATAAAAAAAAAGATATGATTGCCAATGAGACAACTCTCAAAAAAAGACTAAATGACACAGAAATTAACAACTATAGGTCACAATACGGCCTTCTACAATGAGCAAAGCCCATACAGCAGAGTCAGTTTTAAAGGTCCAATATGAAAAATGTAAAAAAATTCAAACTAGAAAAACTAACGACCTAATTTATGTACAAAAAATGAACGAAAAACAAATGTGTTACACAGTAACAAACGACAACCACTGAATTACAGGCTCCTGACTTGGGACAGACACATACAGAACGTGGCGGGGTTATACTTATTTGAAGGCGCCAATCCTCCCACTAAACTGGGACAGTGATGTTACAGTACAACATAAGAATAAACTAAAAAAAATAAGTTGAAAAAGGCTTATCTTATCAGATGGGTACAGACAGAAATACATCTAACAAATCACAGAGTGGACATGGACGTGGACGGCTACTTATACATCCCCATAACAAAGACACTAAGTACAGATCTTAGATTATTCGCAGTTACTGACAGCTAGTTCAAAGCCAATAAAAACTAATTAAAAAAATCATGCATCTAAGACTAAAATTTTATGATTTCATATTATATTCCATGTTTGATGATACTTCAATTGTACCTACTACATGTATGTGCAAAATATAATATGTTAGTATTATTATTTGTTCATGGTTTTTTTCATATTTTATAAGTTACAGTGATTAGTAACTTGTAATTAACTGACACAGACTATAAAAACAAATTAATCACTATCAAAACAATTCCCGATTGTCCCACATTTAAACTTCCCAATTGTCCAACAAACATATTCCCGAATGTCCCACAAATTTCATTACTTTTTTACCTGTAATTTCAAAAAGTGGGACAATCGGGAAGACACCAGATAGTTATACAAAATGACGATCCGTATAATTTCACCCACATTACCAAACCTTTCTATTACCGATTAAAACGTTTTTCCAGGTGAGGATAAGAGACTTATTTTCAGTTTGAAACATTTTTGAAATATTCATTTATATTAAATAGGATCTAGATTGTAAAATAGACTTTCTAATTCATAACCAAACTGTAAAACCTGTAGTATAACGGCTAGATCAGTCGACCATCATTGTGACTGTGAAAAAGGACTGACGTGTTGGGTTCAAAATAAATTTCTGTATAAAAGTAATTCCATTCAATATAAAATAGTTGTGGAATTATTGCCAATGAGATAACTATCCACCAAATTTCAAATGAATATAAGCAATTATAGACGACCGTACGCCCTTGAACAATAAGAAAAACCCATACCGTACAGTAGTCTATAAAAGGTCCCGATATTAAAAATTTTAAATAATTCAAACGAGACAACTAACGGCCTAATTTAAAATAAAATGATTTACAAACATTAAATAATATATGACGGACATGATCCAACCAAAGCACTGAACTGCAGACTCCTCATTTGAGAAAGTCACATAAAGAATGTGGCGGGGTTATATATGTTTGTGAGCGCTCAACACTTTCCCTAACCGGGGACAGTGGTGTAAAAGCACAACACATGAACAAACTGTAAAAAGCAGTCGCAATTGGCTTAACTAAAAGATCGGTACGAGGCACAAATAAAAAAATCATGTTCTACCAGACTAAAGTATCAATCAGTGCACGACCCACGGATTTAGTGTAAAACGTCATAAACAGTCTGAGAAACGAATGACATTGTGCAGGTTCTTCAAAAATAGATTATAAATATATTGCATTTACTCTGATTAAAACAAGAAGAGTACAAAAGTCAAATTAAGGATATGTCATGCCACTAAATATTCATATGTCTGTCAGCGAGGTAAAACGAAATTTGGATAATTTACTTAAAAACATGCAGAATCAGTAAATAAGTCACAGAAGTAAAGGAATGATGGGATAGTTAAGGGATTCGAAGTATATGGAATCGCTCCAATAACAATAGAAATGCTCCGAATAGATCTGAAAAACAAATATTTTAACGTTGAAATCTGTTTACTTTGTTGATTGACACATTGCACAGCTGTAAACTTCTGGGAACAAATATTAATTGAATTAGCAATTGGGATTCATATTTAATCTATTTTTGTCATTTAATTTATTATCATGTTTCAAACTTATCTGGAAAGTGCATTTTTCTTTCTCTTTTTGTGTTATACATGTATCCATCATTTTGATTGGCAACCTCAAATGTGTTCCTTGTTTCTTTAAAACTAATATATACATGTATGTATATATATATGATAATACTATTTATCATTATAAATATCATTATCGTTATTATTTCGAATACGAATACTGTCATCTTACCTATAATGATTGGCGTAACAATAGATATAAGTGACAATACTTATGATAATATGAAGCTATCTATAGCAGTTGTATTCTTATTGTAAATCAAATTTACAGTGTTGCATATTTCGTCGTGTTCACATGAGAGAAGCCAAAAAAATCTGTTTTTTTGTATCTAGAATTTTTAAATTATTACATATTTGTATAGCAGAATCTAACACAACTTGTCGTTTTTTGCTCGAATGTTGGGCATTCCATTAGAAAATGAATTTGAATACCATTAATAATTTTATCGTTGTCGTTGATGTTGTTCTTGTTAGCATTTGTATTATTATATAAAAAGGGCAGAAAGAAAACTATAAAGATTGAAAGAATTAAAATATAATCCTGACAAACAACGGCACTTTAAACGGAAGCTTTTTAAAATACTGGTTCACTATATGTCGTAGAAATGTTGATGTATCAGCAGCAAAAATGGACTGGTTCACTGTTTGCCGTAGGACTGTTGCTGAAACAGTAACTGTAGTGAAATTGAATGGTTTTGTTGTTTGTCGAATGAAAGAATAAAATAGACCTCTCTCATACACTTTGGTTTATTGCAGGTGCCATATTTGATCGTAAATCAGAACATTTAGCCAAGACATTTGAGTTTGAAGTTCGGAGGTTGTCGAATTCAGACAAGGATATACATTTGGAGCAAACACACGAGATAGTCGAATGTCAAGATAGTTTTCACGTTAGTAATGCAAGTAAGTAAAATGCATACTTTATTATAAATGCAATTATAATTTCTACACAATACCTTGCGTACACTTGTGTTACTCCTGTGCACAAGGGCTTGCGTACACTTGTGGTACTCCTGTGCACAAAGGCTTAAGTTTTATTATAATAAGTAGTCCTACATGAATTATGTAAAGGAACAATGAAAAATGTGTTTAACTTACTACACTGTATGTCGGTGAAACATATTCCTCAAATCCGAAGTTGTCTGTTTGTTAATAACCTGAATTTGAGATTAAAAATTAACAATGAAGAACATGACTCATCATACTGTATTCATTTTCTTATCTTGACATACTGCCTGTTTACTTCTTATGTAAAAATAGAATGTTTTGAAGAATTCGCTGTTTCTCAATCCTGAAAGTCTAAAAAAAAAAAAAAAAGACTACTGCTCATTTTCAATTTTTTGGACCGCACAGTTGCTTGCATTTCTAATTTTTGTTTCTTTTATTTTCTTTACCATCAACAAGACTATAAAATCTTTTTCATAAACCCTATTGACTACCATATTGATTGGGCATGAGTACAGACAAGCATTAGTCGCCTTTATCTGTATCATTTATCATTCTAAAAGCTCTATAATAGTCAAATGGTACAAGGCATGACAGTTCGACTCAAAAGTTCGAATTGCAAACTATGATGATAGAAACATCATTTTGGACAGTCTGTTTTAAGTTATGTGCCACACACCACCTCCTAAAAGACAATACAATAGTGTACCTCTTTAACTAAAGGCATTTGCAATCATCGTTCTTCTTTTAAATTAGATTTAATTTGCATAACCATAACTTAAATTAAATTGATTAAATTGAAATAAAAAAGAGAAGAAAAAGTTCTGAGTACTTAAGAATATTAAAAGATGTAAATGATGCTAATGTAGTATTTTGAATATAAATTAACTGAGACCTTACATATAAGTTGAAAAAAAAATCCCCAACCGAACAACACAATCAAGGAAAAAGACAAATAATACACTTGGCAGGTCAATAAAGAATATATAACTATAACTTAAAGCTCATACTACTGTATGTGACAAACTCTAATCCACCATTTATCTTGACTAGTTATGAAAAAATAAGAGAGCCTACTTAAATTATTTCTTATTCTCACGGTCGGTTGAGATCTTTACAAGTAATGATTTTAGCTTTCCAATTGTGAACCTTCCATTTCCATGTAGCAACATTCCAGCAGCGCCTGCAGATAAAGTATATGTTCAAGTTGATACGATAGTCTAGAGCTTGCGTTCCCTATCATGATTTCATTGATAAAGGGTTTCTTCTTACGTGGTTGCTATTGGACCGAGGGTTCCTAATGGTAAAGTTGAAGTCATCGTTTAAGAAATTTCACAGACGTCAACATGAGTTTATTGACTGCTATATGCTATCTGTGTCACAGATGACCACGTATACCGGTATGTTCCAATTGTAGCAGCCACAATCCCGTCCATTTTCTTCGATTGTTACATCACAGAATGATACTTAACATCGAATGTATACTTTCTATAAGGAATACGCTTCTTGAGCTTATGATATCACTCCTAGTTTGAAGTGGTTTTGTGTTTCTCTTGATTCAGTTTTTTTGTACTTTGTGCTTTTGTATTTTTCTATGTCGAGATCTGTGCTGTTTCTACCGTCACAGTCTTTTCAAAGATATCCTGAGAAATCGTGCATCAATTTCTACATTTCAGTCAAGTTTAAGGGTGAAAAAATTGTCATGACCGATGGTTTACGAATTTGGTGATGCCATATGGGTCAAATAAGAGTCAATTACCAAATCCGCCTTTGTCTAATCACTTTATATATATTTTCAACATAATTCATAATAGTAACCGATATGGCGCAGGAGCTGTCAATCCTTCAGAAACACCTGAGTATACCCCCGGCATTTGTTGGGGTTTGTGGTGCTCAATGCTTTTTTTTTGTAGACTGATGTTTTTTTTGTCATCCTCTCTTCGATTTTTATTCTCTCTTTGTTATATTCCGCTTCTTTTTAAAGACAATAAGACTAAGATAAAAGTTTAGGACAACCTCTGATTAAGTCCCTGTTTAAGACAGACATATTACATGTTACGTATGGCAAGGATAAACAGTTGTATGTAAATAGCCCATCCCTTTTTCATCTTAATAATTTGAATAATGAAATGTAAATTACAAGAAAGGACCGTTCAGAGTCCGTTCAAAATAACCAATTAATTAAATCTATATGATAGTGGCATGATAGAAGACCCAAACATGTCATGATAAGATGACACAATACCTAGTTATATCATACTAAAGAAATCAATGCTCGTTAAATAAAAGAAAGCATTAATGTCTTAACTGAAACTGATGTAGATGTAAATCTTCTAAATCTATCTGGTATAAAAAGAAGCTGTAAGATGAATTAAACTGTAGAAACATTCCTCCTCGATCATAAATTATACGTTTTTAAAATCGTCATGCTCTGAAGATGTATTAAAGAAACTTGTCCCCCATCTGCCTCTCAGTCACAGCACCAAAGCGGCAAAGCTATATAATGTCTATGAAATATATATATATGAGATCACTTCGAATCCTCTTCACAATCGATAACATCTTTAATGTAGATAAAATTAATGTTATACAGTCATATGTTATATTATTTTTACACAAAACGAACATAACTAAACGACCCTATCTGGATGTAGTTGTACCTTTCTGATAGACTCGGACTCGATTCCATTTGTTTTTCCAATCTGATTCTACATCACTTTTTTTGTATTAGACCTTTTCTTATGCATTGAACAATGTTTGGACAAAGGGAAAATAGCGTAGAGGCGAAACAAAAAGCCATCACCAATCACAATGTCTTTACAATGCTTTCATTTATTCATTCTGAACAGGCCTGTGGAATGTTTTTATGTACCATGAATATAAAATCGACCATTCTGATATTTAATTCTTACTTATTTATATTTGCTCACCGATAAATTCTTATTCCATTCATTCAAAAAGATCTTTCGCGGAAGATGTAACCATCAATATGTGAAGTCAGAAGTCCTTAAGGATATTATACCTCTGAGTCACTCAGACTTTAGGTATCAAATTCTATTTTTCTTGAAAGTTTCATTCTCAGTTGATCTTTGACAGACAGTATATAATTGCTTTCTTTATAACATCAAACATTTCTTGCATTTTTTCCAATACTCTGTCATGTGTCTCGGGTTTAAACTTACTAGAGAAAGATTGAGAATTTGTAACTGGTTTGACAGTCCAGGATTACCGGTAGTTTTATGTTCCGAGGCATAACAATTGCGTTAGAGATGACGTTTTACTTTATTGTTGAATGATACATGTATATATAACAGGATATGCTTTCCATATCGGGTCCAACTGTCGCATTTAAATTTATACTGTAGACATGGATTTTTTTGCAGGTTGTTATAAACGCGATTTCAATGCAAAAATTCGCACATATAAATTTTATGTCCTACAAATGTACCTAAATAGTGCTGCTGCCGACAAATTATTTGCACGTGGGGGAATTTCGTGCATTTTATGTGGTCGCGAAATAAGTAACAATCATTCCCGCGAGAGAATGTTTATATAATACAGCTTTTGACTGAAATGTTTGTTTGTAACATGATATGAGATAATTGAACGGACATTCATATGATCAATTTTATCAACAATTATATAGGAAGTTGAATAATGATGGGCACGTTAATATCATTATTGAAAAGTCTGTATTGATAATAATGCCTTAAAGACTCTGATTGGTTTGTATCCTAACCAGTGATTTCCTACAGTTAAATGAATTCAAGCAGAATAAAAAAACAACTACCCTCCAGTTTAAACCTATAATGAATAATATTGTTTCTCTAAAGGCAAGTAGATACAAAGTAAACCCCATGCCTAAAGTATTGAAATCAATTTATCTGTTGTCAATGACTTACCATATATGTACTCTGTACCACGGTAAACAAAGTGCGCATTATTACTCTAGCTGTAAGAAAACATGACAAAATCTTATAACACATCTCGTTTCATTTATCTTCCACACATAACGTAAAAATTTCATTTGTTTATCCTTTGGCGACTTCTAGTTCCAATCCCACAATAAAGACTTAAAAAAAATTAACTCATAAATGTTTTGGTATGAATCAAATTTTGTCTGAAATAATCAGTTCATAAAATTCTATTGCACTGCTAAAGCGAGGTGTACAAAGACCCATAACGGTCTCGACTGTCTTTTAAGATTCTTTCGGTTTGTTTTCCCTTAATTTCTATATATTTGGTCATCAAAATACCTATAATGAATGTCATTCAAGAAACACGTGATATGCACACTTTGCCAAGCATCCGGGACACTTCTATTAGGATGATTGCTACTATAATGAATCAATTACATCCTCGATTTACACTGAACCTCTGTTGTGTTCGAGGACATAAAAAAAATAGAGCCCAATACAAAAGAACACTAAAATATGGCAATCTGTAAAAGAAATACAAACAGATACAAAGAAGGCTGTCGAAAATAAAATGTCGAATAACAAAATTTACAAAAGCAAAAGAGAGAAACAGACTAAACATAAACCACAAACAAATTAGTCCATCCTAAAGTAATGTGCATCATAAAACCAGGTTAAAATCTCAATTATAAGAATATATCTAAATGCCTGCTCAACAAGTTGCCATTCGTGTTGTTCATAACAAAGCATATCTTGAGATTATATGTTTTGGTCATCCATGATTGTACGTATAATCAAATACTGGATTATGTTTACGACAAATGGAAGATATCCGTGATTATTTCTGTCAGGAATAATGAAGTGCATGCTCAACAATAAGAAAGAACCATTGTTTCAACAGCATGCCAATGAATTAATCAGCGCTACCAATGAATTAATCATATAAGGAACCATAACTTTTCTAACATGGAAACAACTGCATGGTACATAGAATGTTTAAACTGAGGACAGTAAAATCTGCGTAATAGCACAATGAGAATA